TGCGGTGAGCCGAGATGGCGCCATTGCACTCCAGCCTGGGTAACAAGAGCGAAACTCCGTCTCAAAAAAAAAAAAAAAAAAAAAAAAAAAAAGAATGAACTTGTCTCATACCCAGATCAAGAATCTGATGACATACGACATCAAAATTCTTCAGAGCAACATGAGAAATTAGAAGACAATGGAGCAGCCGGGCGCGGTGGCTCAAGCCTGTAATCCCAGCACTTTGGGAGGCTGAGGCGGGTGGATCATGAGGTCGAGAGATCGAGACCATCCTGGTCAACATGGTGAAACCCTGTCTCTACTAAAAATACAAAACATTAGCTGGGCATGGTGGCTCGTGCCTGTAATCCCAGCTACTCAGGAGGCTGAGGCAGGAGAATTGCCTGAACCCAGGAGGCGGAGGTTCTGGTGAGCTGAGATGGCGCCATCGCACTCCAGCCTGGGTAACAAGAGCGAAACTCCGTCTCAAAAAAAAAAAAAAAAAAAAAAAAAAAAAAAAAAAAAGACAATGGAGCAATGTCTTAAAAATTCTGAGGGTAGTATGTTCCAACTTAAAATTGTATCCACTCTATATTTTATTTTATGAGACAGAGTCTTGCTCTGTTGTCCAGGCTGGAGTGCACCAGTGAAATCTTGGCTCACTGTAACCTCCATTTCCCAGGTCCAGCTGATTATCCTGCTTCAGCCTCCCATGTAGCTGGGATTACAGATGTGCGCCACCACACCTGGCTAATTTTTATGTTTTTAGTAGAGATGAGGTTTCACCATGTTAGCCAGGCTGGTCTTGAACTCCTGACCTCAAGTGATCTGCCCGTCTCGGCCTCTCAGAGTGCGAGGATTACAGGCATGAGCCTCTGTGCTCAGCCTCCATTCTGTTTATTAAAGTTTTACATGTAGGAACTCACACTTTCATTTATGTGAGTTCCCAAAATCTTTACCCTCAAAATACACTCTCTCAGGAAGCCACCAAAGGACATGCTGCACCAGAAGAAAGGTGTAAAGCAAGAATCAGGGAGAGCTGGCCGTGCCATGAAACAGGCTCCGAGCACTAGAGAGAGGCGAGGAATTGTTTTAGGATCAGAGTGAGGGGAGGCCATGAATAACCACTGTGTAGCAGTCAGTGCAGACTGGAGCAGGAAGACACAGAGCCAGGGGTGCAGAGGTGGGGTGGGGGGGCAATTACCCAATGAATGCAAATGTAATGAGAGTAGACCTGTATTGTGGCAAAAGAGGACAGTGATGATCACACAAATGGAAACCAAAATTTTAAACATATTATTAACCAGGGCAAACAAGGGAAATATAATCAGCATGGTATAAGGATTAGTTATGGATACTTGCCTAATATTAAAAATTCTGAATACTGAGGATAGCAAAATTGTAAATTTATCCGGAAGATGGGTGTGAGTGGCAACAGGTGTATGAAGTGTATGTTAATTTAAGATAGCCACATTTTCATCTTCCACAGCGTAAAGCTAATATCTAAACCTAGAGGGAGAAACACTCAACAGCAGCAATATAGGTCTGTTATTTAGAAATCTCAAGATAAATAGCAAAGAATATTGCTTGAACAGTTGAAATTATTCTGTACGGTAGAGGCTGGGGGATGGCGATGGGAATGCTGTTATTATTCATTATAAGCTTTGGAGTACTTTTCAGTTTTTAAGCCCCATACATCCATGTCGATAAAAATGAAATTGAAAAATAAATGTTGACAAATATTTTTATATAATGAATGTACCATAATATATCCCTTGTTACTATGAGGAAGACTAATATTTATCTTTTTAAAATTTTTTGGAGATGGAGTCTTACACTGACACCCGGCCTGACTAGCAATCTCGGCTCAATGCAACCTCCGCCTCCCAGATTCACCAACATCAGCCTCCAGAGTAGCTGGGTATAGGTATGCACCACTACGTGCAGCTAATTTTTTTTTTTTTTTTTTTTTTTAGTAGAGATGGGGTTTCATTATGTTGCCCAGGCTGGTCTATGAACTCCTAAACTCAAGCGATCTGCCCACCACAGCCTCCCAAAGTGTTGGGATTACAGGTGTGAGCCACCGTGCATTGGTCCAACATTTGTCTTGATGTGTAGTATTAGGCTGGAGTGCAGAGGTGCAATCATGGCTCACTGCAGCCTCAACCTCCCAGGCTCAAGTGAGCCTCCCACCTCAGCCTCCTAAGTAGCTGGTACCACAGACATGCGCCACCATGCCCCAGATAATTTTTTTTAGTTTTAGTGGAGGAGAGGTCTCAGCTGTGTTGCCCAGACTGGTCTGAGAACTCCTGGGCTCAAGTGATCCTCCTGCCTCGGCCTCCCAAAGTATTGGGATTACAGGCATGAGCCACCACCTCCAGCCCAGACTGTTTTCAACATTACAGTACTAAGCACTACCAAAAGACAGCAGTCACTTTTTCAAAAAATAGATTTTTAAAAATTTAGTTTGATAGCAACTTTTCTCCAGTACATTCTCCCCCACTACCCCCCGAGACGGAGTTCTTCCTCTGTCAACCAGGCTGGAGTGCAGTGGCACGATCTAGGCTTACTGCAACCTCCGCCTCCTAGGTTTAAGCGATTCTCTTGCCTCAGCCTCAGAGTAGCTGGGATTACAGGCATGTGACACCATGCCCCTCTAATTTTTTTTTTTTTGTATTTTCAGAGAGACAGGGTTTCACCATGTTGGTCAGGCTGGTCTTGAACTCCTAACCTCGTGATCTGCCCACCTTGGACTCCCAAAGTGCTAGGATAACAGGCATGAGCCACTGCGTACAGCCTCCTCAGTACATTTTTTTTAAAAAAAGGCATTCATTTAGTTCTTTTCAATTTCTATTTTATCACAAAGTTTTGTTTTTGTTTGTTTTTTTGATACAGAGTTTCACTGCTGCCCAGGCTGGAATGCAATGGTGTAATCTTCGCTCACAGCAACCTCGGCATCCCAGGTTTATGATTCTCCTGACTCAGCCTTAGGAGTAGCTGGGATTACAGGCACCCACCACTATGCCCGGCTAATTTTTGTATTTTAGTAGAGACAGGGATACACCATGTTGGCCAGGCTGGTCTTGAACTCCTGATCTGAAGTGATCTGCCTGCCTCGGCCTCCCAAAGTGCTGGGATTACTGGCCTGAGCCACTGCACCTGGCCTATTTTTTAATTTTTATTTTTCTGAGATGGAATCTCACTTTCTTGCCCAGACTGGAGTGCACTGGCACCATCTCGTGCCTGGCTTTTTTTTTTTTTTTTTAATATTTAATAATGTAAAACAACTAGCAAGAACTTTATCACCCTATACATGATGATATTGGTTGGGTGTTTTGTTTTTTTTGGGGGGGGGCAAAGTTGGAATGCTTGGTATTTCCATTTCCTTACACAGAAGCAAATAGATAATTCTGGCATTTTTGACGCTCCATATGGAAGCAGGCAAATTAAAATTCTGCACCCTGGGGAGGACGTAAAACCGTTTTCACCTTAACATTTTTTTTTTTTTTTTTTTTTTTTTGAGACAGAGTTTCGCTCTTGTTACCCAGGCTGGAGTGCAATGGCGTGATCTTGGCTCACTGCAACCTCCGCCTCCCGGGTTCAGGCAATTCTCCTGTCTCAGCTTCCTGAGTAGCTGGGATCACAGGCATGTGCCATCATGCCCAGCTAACTTTTTGTATTTTTAGTAGAGACGGGGTTTCACCTTGTTGACCAGGATGGTCTCGATCTATTGACCTCGTGATCCACCCGCCTCGGCCTCCCAAAGTGCTGGGATTACAGGCTTGAGCCACCGCGCCCGGCCTAATATAACTTTTAAATGATACATCACCCCCAAATTATAAAAGGATTGAAATTTTGTAGGGGGTTCAGATGTTTTAAAAAAAAAAAAAAGTTGGGGGGATGGGCAGGAAAAGCGATCTCTAGAATATCTATCCTACCCTATCAATTGTTTAGTTGTCTTATCAGATTGAAAACTTCAGCCTTGTGCCATGGCTCACACCTATAATCCCAGCATTTTGGGAGGCCGAGGCAGGCAGATCACCTGAGGCCAGGAGTTCAAGACCAGCCTGACCAACATGGTGAAACCCCGTCTCTACTAAAATACAAAAATTAGCCAGGCGCAGTGGCTCAAGCCTGTAATCCAGCACTTTGGGAGGCCAAGGAGGGTGGATCACAAGGCCAAGAGATCGAGACCCTCCTGGTCAACATGGTGAAACCCCATCTCTACTAAAAATACAAAAAATTAGCTGGGCGTGGTGGCGCGTGCCTGTAATCCCAGCTACTCAGGAGGCTGAGGCAGGAGAATTGCCTGAACCCAGGAGGCGGAGGTTCTGGTGAGCCGAGATCGCGCCATTGCACTCCAGCCTGGGTAACAAGAGCGAAACTCCATCTCAAAACAAAACAAAGCAAAACAAAACAAAACAAAAATTAGCCAGCGTGGTGGCAGGCACCTGTAATCTCAGTTACTCAGGAGCCTGAGGCAGAATTGCTTGAACCCAGAAAGCAGAGGTTACAGTGAGCCAAGATTGCGCCATTGCACTCCAACAAAACTCCATCTAAAAACACCAACACTGCTGGGCGTGGTGGCTCACACCTGTAAACCCAGCACTTCGGGAGGCCGAGGCGGGCAAATCACCTCAGGTTATGAGTTCGAGACCAGCCTGGCCAACATGGTGAAACCCCGTCTCTACTAAAAATACAAAGATTAACTGGGCGTGGTGGCTCACGCTCATAATCCCAGCTACTTGGGAGGCTGAGGCAAGAAAATCACTTCAAGCCGGGAGGTGAGGGTTGCAGTGAGCCGAGATTGCGTCACTGCACTGCAGTCTGAGCAACAAGAGCAAAACTCCGTCTCCAAAAAAACCCCAAGAAGTCGTTTAATTGAAGGTTACAGAGTTAATCAGCAGCAGAAAGGTTCAAGTGTCCGGGAGGCAGGGTGAGCGGGTCTGCGAGAGGGGGTTTCATGAGGAAAGCAAGCTCCGCGTGGAGGGAGGGCTGTACCGGGGCACAGGGGCGCTTACCCGGCCGGAAAAATAGAAGGGCGCTGGTGAGGTAGCCCACCAGCTCCTTGATCCGATGCTTTTCCAAATACTCCGCGGCTTGGAGCTCCCTGCTGCGGGTCTCCATTGCTCCGCGGCTCCCTGTTGCTAGGTGACCGCCTGGCGTCTCAGCCGCGCAACTCAACCTCCCTCCACCCGGCGCGGTCACGTGATGCATCTGACTCCCCTGTGGCTGCAACCGGGACCTGGACTTTCTACAGCTCACAGTTCAGTGCAAGCCTGGGGCTTGTGTCAGGGCAGAGAGAGTAGGTGATGTGTAGACCACCGTCACCGTCCCTGATCCAGTTTGAGGGCTGGGCCTAAGTGCCTTTTTCTGTTTCTCTAGCACCTAGTTGGGTACTTGTTGAGCCAATGATTAACCAAGGCTTGAAGTGCTGGCATCATAACTCTGGATGAACTAGTAACAGAAGAAACTTGTGCAGTTCTGAGGGTGCCCAGCGGAGAGTTCTAAGTAGCATCTTCTGTGTGAGTGGCCTGCAGGCATGGTGCTGGCCACGGGACAGAAAGTTCTTGGCCTGTTGACTCCACTGGGTTGTGGGCCACAGAGCAGCCTGGATCCTGAGCTTCAACCCTTGTTTGCCGGATCTGGTCTTAGGAGACAGAGACCACCTGAGTTTTGTTTTTTGTTTTTGCTTTGTTTTTTAGACAGATTTTCACTCTTGTTGCCCAGGCTGGAGTACAATGGTGTGATCTGAGCTCACTGCAGCCTCTACCTCCTGGGTTCAAGAGATTCTCTTGCCTCAGCCTCCCAAGTAGCTGGGATTACACGCATGCGCCACCATACCCTGCTTATATATATATAAAAATATAAATAAATAAATAAATATAAATATATATAAATATATATATAAATATATATATAAATATATAAATATATATATTTATATATATATATTTTTAGCAGAGACAGTTTCACCATGTTGGCCAGGCTGGTCTGAAACTCCTGACCTCAGGTGATATACCTGCCTTGGCCTCCCAAAGTGCTGGGATTACAGGCATGAGCCATCATGCCTGGCTCTGACAGTTGTTTTGAGGGAGGGTCACTGAGTAAGGTGGGATGCAGGCAGCTAGGAGGGCCTCCACTCTGCCATGGGGAGACCTGAGAAACTAACTCTGGGCCATCTGTCCTTGAGGGCCTGTGCCCACATCCGTCACTGAAGAGTTAGCCCAGAAGAAGCCCTTCAAGAAGGAGAATGACAGATGGTCAGCGAGCATGTGAAAATACCCTAAGCCTCTTTGACAACCCGGTAAACAAAACCACAAGAAAACACCATTTTATATCTACCAGGCTGATAGATTACAAAGTTGAACAATGACTGAGATGGTCACTGATCATGGAATATAAACTGGAACATCCACTTTGGAAAACAGTTTAGAATTATCTTGGTAATTTAAACATGTTTCCACACACTGACACAGAAATTTCACTACAAGAGCTGCTCTTGTAAATGTATACCAGGAGATAGGTCTAAGAATGTTTACAGCAGCACCATTCATAATAGAAATCACTGACAACAGCCCAAATGTCAAGAGCAAAATGGATTTTAAAAACTATGATACATGAATACTATAAAGCATTTTAACAATCAGTTGTAACTACTGGCAATAATATAGTTGAATTTCAAAAACATTGTTTCCAGGGTATATATATCACATGAATCAATTTATATAAAGTTTAAAAACATACCAAACTGAACAATATATTGTTTGCAGATTCAAACATATGTAGGAAATCTGTCAAACACAAGAAAATGATAAGCACAAAATTCAGCTAGTGTTTGCCTTGGAGACGGGAGAAAAGAAAATGAGTTTGGGGAGAAATATCCTGGGGACTGCGGGATTAATTCTAATATGATTCTTCTTTAACTGAAGGGTGGGTTCACAGGTGTTCATCAGATGATTCTTTATACCCTATATACGTATTTTATAATTTTTAAAATCTATTCAGCATTTAGTAAAAATAATTTTTCATCAGTTGAAAAATCGTGTGGAACTGAAGGTTATTATCCTTAGCAAGCTAACACAGGAACAGCAAACCAAATGCCACATGTTCTCACAAGTGGGAACTAAATGATAACACATTGACATAAAGGAGGAAACAACAGACACTGGGGTCTACTTGATGGGGGAGGGCGGGAAGAGGGAGAGGAGCAAAAAAAAAAAAAAAAAAAAAAAAAAAATCACTGGTAGGTACTGGGCTTAATACCCAAGTGACGAAATAATACGTACATCGAATTCCCTTGATACCTGTTTACCTATGTAACATGTGTCCCCACACCTAAAATAAGGTTTAAAAAAATAGAGTGGAGGCCGGGCGCGGTGGCTCAAGCCTGTAATCCCAGCACTTTGGGAGGCCGAGGCGGGTGGATCACGAGGTCAAGAGATCGAGACCATCCTGGTCAACATGGTGAAACCCCGTCTCTACTAAAAATACAAAAATCATTAGCTGGGCATGGTGGCACGTGCCTGTAATCCCAGCTACTCAGGAGGCTGAGGCAGGAGAATTGCCTGAACCCAGGAGGCGGAGGTTGCGGTGAGCCGAGATCGCGCCATTGCACTCCAGCCTGGGTAACAAGAGCGAAACTCCGTCTCAAAAAAAAAAAAAAAAAATAGAGTGGAAAGAGGAGCTACAAAATGAATGCTAGGAGACTGAACCAAGCCTGAAACAGAAAGTAGCCATGGTACTGGGGACATGTGGGCACAGAATCTCCAGAGGGAAGACCTACCTTGAGAATTCTGACTGATCTGGCAAGCCAGAGAAGCCCTGAGCATCTGGGAGAACTAGAGGAAATTTTATGGCTAATGTTTGGGTCCTTGGCACAACTCTGAACAGAGAGAAGGGATGATGCTCTTGTCCTCAAAGTCTAGAGGAAGTGTTCTGAGGAGGGAAAGACTTACTCTCTGAAAAGACCTGAAAACTGTGTGCCAGGTGAGGTGGCTTACGCCTGTAATCCCATCACTTTGGGAGGCCAAAGCAGGAGGATTGAGCCCAGGAGTTTGAGGCCAGTCTGTAATGCAGGATTTTCTGATTGATCACTTTGCAAGCCAGGGATCCCCAGCCAGTGGTATCCTATCCAGGTCTCCTTCTCCTGCTGCAAGAGACAGCCAGCCCACTCAGCCTACCTGGGTTGAGCCTGGCCTGTGCACCAATTCCCGAGTTTTTTGTCCCTAACCCAAGAAGAATGAGGATGTGCCGATAATCGAAGAGTGAGCAAGGTGGGGAGTTTTATTGAGTGATGGAACAGCTCTCAGTGGAAAGGGGATGCTGGGGCCCATGGGGGGAGGGTGGTCCCCCGCCCCTGTAGTCAGGTGGTTTCTCCCTCTCTGCTGCTGAGTCCGGGACCTTTTATGGACTCAGAATGGGGAGTGCATGCTGACTGGTTTGTGAGTATCCAAAAAAGGTTAAAGTGAAGATACCAGGGGCCGGGCACGGTGGCTCAAGCCTGTAATCCCAGCACTTTGGGAGGCCGAGGCGGGTGGATCACAAGGTCGAGAGATCGAGACCATCCTGGTCAACATGGTGAAACCCCGTCTCTACTAAAGATACAAAAAATTAGCTGGGCATGGTGGCACGTGCCTGTAATCCCAGCTACTCAGGAGGCCGAGGCAGGAGAATTGCTTGAACCCAGGAGGCGGAGGTTGCGGTGAGCCGAGATCGTGCCATTGCACTCCAGCCTGGGTAAAGGGCGAAACTCCGTCTCAAAAAAAAAAAAAAAAAAAAAGTGAAGATACCACTCTAAGGTGGGCATGACAGTGTAGAAAACCAATTAGGAAAGGGTAGGTGTATGTACAGTTGGTGAAAGATGAGGATCAATCAGAAGAAAACATGCCAAACGGGATGACAAGTTCTCAGTCTGGTCAAGGATTTAACTTGTAGCTTGGCTTTTAGGCTTTTTTAAAACTGTCCTTGGCTTGGAGGTGGGCTTTCACCATTGATTTGCCCCTATCTGCCTAGGCATTTGGCTGCCTTCTGTTGCCATTACCTAGCCAACATGCAAAAACCCATCTCTATTAAAAATACAAAAAATAGCCAGTTATTGAGACAGGGTACTTGCTCTGTCACCCAGGTTGGAGTGCAGTGGTATGATCACAACTCATTGCAGCTTCAATCTCTTGAACTCAAGCAGTCTTCCTAGCTCAGCTTCCAGAATAGGTGTGACTACAGGGTCAGCTAATTTTTTTGATTTTTGTTAGGGATGGGGTCTCACTATGTTGCCCAGGCTAGTCTCAAACTCCTGGACTCAATCAGTCCTCCTCCCACCTATGCCTCCCAAATGCTGGGATTACAGGTGGGAGCCACTGTGCCTGGCTGAGAACATATTTACTCTTCAGGACTTACTTGGTCCCTGAATAAATAGCTCTGCTCTATTGTACCCTAAAACCTCAAACGACACTGAAGTTGCGATAGTCTGATTTTCTCTGGCTATGAAGTCAGGCCGAGGAGAGAGCGCACAGTGGGCCCTGCTGACATCTTCCCCGGTTTCTGGTTGTTTTCCAACAAGTCTGGGTCCTTTCACTGTCAGAGGAACAGCATCGTGTGCTTAGAACTCAGCACACTTCAGACAGTGCCTTGTTTTCAGTTGCGGGCTACTGCAACTGACGCTGCTACACTCCAGACACTGCTCAAGAGCAGCGTCCAGATGCCACCTAGTGGAGTTAGCTGTCCTCTGCTGGTGTCATCTGTTAAGAAGCCAAACTGGGCTTCATGAGTCATCTTCAACATCCTTACAGCGCGGCTCCTTCCACAACTTGCCCTTCCCCTCCTTATCACTCTGAATATTGTGACTAATCCGTTCAGTGGTTGTGGAGTGGCTCCGGGTGGGAGGCATTCATGCTGTGGTTCTCACTCAGGGCAACACCTTAGAACACCTGGGAGCCTTTAAAAAGTACTGACAGCCAGATACGGTTGCTAATGCCTCTAGTCCCAGCACTTTGGGAGGTCGAGGCGGGTGGATCATGAGGTCAAGAGATCAAGATCACCATGGTCAACATGGTGCAACCCCCTCTTTACTAAAAATTCAAAAATTAGCTGGCAGTGGTGGTACACGCCTGTAGTCCCAGCTACTCGGGAGGCTGAGGCAGGAGAATCACTTGAACC